ACACACACACACACACACACACACACACACACACTCTCTCTCATGCACTCACCTTCCCCTACAACGAAAGTACATAAGCGGACCTACGAAGAACAATGGTTGCAGAATTACCTCAAGAGAAAAATTTCATAGGCAAGGGGACTGACCCTGAGGCAGGTATCCAGGGGCCTGAGGGCTTTCCTACATTTTTTTATGTTACCTCAGGTGGTAGAGGGGGCAAAGGGAGTCTAGGAGCTTCATACCAGTGACTGGACTGGCACCACTGCCTGGACTGGCACCACTGCCCTGGTCCATTTAGTGGTCAGCATTAACTCTTGTTTACAGGGGGCGCCTGGGTGGCTCAGTCGGTTAAGCAGCTGCTTTTGGCTCAGGTCATGATCCCAGGGTCCTGGGATCGAGCCCCGCATCGGGCTCTCTGCTCGGTGGGGAGCCTGCTTCCTCCTCTCTCTCTCTGCCTCCTCTCTGCCTACTTGTGATCTCTGTCTGTCAAATAAATAAATAAAATCTTTAAAAAAAAAAGAAAGAAAGCTTAAAAAAAAGACCCACCAGAAAACTCTTGCTTACAGGATCCGAGGTGGTAACTTTAATGGAGCAAATACCATCTGTGGGCCACGAGGGGTTGAGAGGTAAGAGGGTGTGAATTATAAAGAGAAAAGGGTGAAGATGTACTGTTTCACTGTGCTTGAAAATGTGTAGCCTTCATGTAAGTCTCACTTGAGCTCTATAACAAATGTACTATCACTCTTATTTCCCTGGGTTTCAACTCGAAGGAGTGACAAAGCTGGGATTTGAAGCCAGTTCTGCTGTCTCCACAGCCCACTATATCATACGTATCCCCAAGGACGATGGGAGACTTGATTTATGGTATTAAAACTCAGGAGTTTATCTTTCTTTCTCATTGGAAAGGTCCGATCCCCCATTTATTGCTTAAAAAGAGCAATATATTCTCTCAATACAATATTCAAACTATATCAAGAGGTATAGGGTGAAAAGTCCTTCTCCCTTTCCAGATACCCGGTTCCCCTTCCTGAAGGCAACCACTGATACCTGTTGCTTGTGTGTCCTTCCAAAGTGTTCATCTCTTTCTTCCTTGCTACCCTAGACCATATGGGAGAAACCAGCCTGGCTGGGAAGACTTAGAAGCAATATCTGGGGGAGAATTAAGAAGGCCACGCATCGCAACGAGGTTAGCCACAGAGCAACAAGAAGGCAGAAGTCATCATCAGCGCTCACTCTGTTGCCTCTGGGTGACTCTTTTTCACCTCTGTCCTGGCACTGTCCTGGTCACCCTGACTTGTCCTTTCCTCCCTAAAGAGAACGGCCAGCCTCAAACAGCTCCTGCTGTTACATTGCTCAGAACCCAGCTCTCTGTCCAGCCACACTAAGGATGATGATCTTCACAAAATGTGGTTACACGTCAACAAGGGCAGTCAATCAAAGAGTGACTTGAATAATGGGGATTTCAGATGCTTTGTCATGACAGGCCAACAGGATACTTTTTCCCAAAAGGTATGACCTTGAGACTCTTCCTACTTCCCCTGTGGGTGTCAAGCCAACTGAGTATCCGAACACTGGGGCTGCCTGAAATTATTTCATTCCTAGTGAAGTTAAGGACACCGATCTTAATTCTGTTCTTTTAGGATGGGACACTTAGCATTTTGAAACAAAATCTCCAGTGCTATGGACATATGTCCGCCAATATCCCACAACTATAGGATCAAATCTTACCTAGAAAAAGAAAGAAACAGCTATAACAATGAATAGGAGAATTATTATGACTTTAATAGCCACTAAACGCTATTTCATTCTGCGCCTTCCAAAATAATATTTAGAATACAAAGTCGAAGCAGATGGTTTCACAAACTCAACATTTTCCCTAATCTGGGGCTAGGGGGAGGTGGGTATCTCTGCTGGGAATTATTCAAGAAATCTTTGTGAGTGGAATTCGTTTTGACTTCCTCAGGTAATATTCTTCCCACATAATTAGGCACAACTTTACAACTCAAGGGAGAGAAACAGTAGGGATCTTCATCAAAGTCACCTGCATTAAAGAAAAAAAAAGAACATTTTCAGTTGTTGCACTGGGGACTTTGCAGATAGAAGTAACAGACAATTTTTTTTAAAGCAAACAAAGGAGTGAATAGAGGAATTAGAAAGGAAGTAAAGGTTGTGGGGCTTTTCTTGGGTAGTTTATGTGGACCCAGGGTAAATTCGTTCATCCTGAAAGCACTGTTTGAGCAATTACAGAAGGCACGTCTTCACTCCGTGTTCATGGAAATGAAACTGCTGGCTCTGACCATCCGAGGGACACATCCAGACTCCAGATTTGGGACCTGTGGCCAAGAGGCTAGACTACCTGTCTCGCCAGCTGCGTCACGGTCACAACCCCAGGCCCTTGGCTCTCCGGATCTGTCACTTGATACAACAACACTAAAATGCTGGGAATGTTATTAAAAACAACCCTAAAATCCTAGGCACAGGGGGCTACCATCCCCCCTGAAGAAAGACACGTACATTCGAGCCATATATTTGCTAATGAAACAGTATCCCCCAGGGACAACAAGAGAGCCAATGTGAATGAATCCTTTTGCAAAAATGGTATTTCCCTATCGGCTTCAACTATTATCTACTAAGCAGCTTCCTCAACTTCTGCCCTCTTTTATATGCTATGGCTCCCCAGTGCCACCATATGAGCACTGGAATGTATGTGCAAGCTAGCTGGCCAGAGTAATGGACACTTGTGGGCATGGAAAGAGTCTTTCCATATGCACCAACTTTCCCATACAGAGAAGGAGACTGAGACTGTACACTAGACAATCAGCCTAAACTGGGAAACAATGTTGTCCCACACAGTCCAGAAGCTGGTAGGCACTTTGGAGATTATCTGTCCATCCTAGCCTCCTCACGTTGAAGGTAGAAAGAATGTAACTCTCACTAAGGGAGAGATGTGCCCAAGGTTACAGAGTTAGTGACAGAGCTGGGAGTTGAACTAAAGCCTTCTGACTCCAAGTTTGGTGACTTTATTATTTTTTTAAAGATTTTATTTTTTATTATTTTTTATTTTTTAAGTCATCTCTACACCCAATGTGGGGCTTGAACTCATGACCCCATGATCAAGAGTTGCATGTTCTACCAACCGAGCCAGCCAGGTGACCTTTGGTGGCTTTATTTATTTATTTTTTACCCACCATGCTGATTTCAGATTGGCTGCAGACCTTGGAAATAGAACAGCTGTGTGGAGCCAATATAATGAAAAATACAAGCAGCAGTTCCACCAGCACTGAGGTGTGAGAATGGCTACAGCCGGGCCACTAGAGGTGTTCTGTTATGTGTGAACTGGAGTCAACTTTGGTCCTTAAGTAAGCATCATTGTCCAGGGCAGTACACAACACAGAGGCATCACAACATCAGCTTGAATTCTCAAGTTCTTGTTCCCTTTGCCTTTCTCTTTACTTCGGGCTTTTAGATTAATCCTTTCCTGGGACGCCTGGGTGGCTCAGTTGGTTAAGGGTCTGCTTTTGGCTCAGGTCATGATCCCAGGGTCCTGGGATTGAGCCCTGCATCAATGGGCAGTCTGCTTCTCCCTCTCTACTTGTGCTCTCATATGAGCTCGCTCACTCTCTCTCTCTCTATCTCAAATAAATAAAATCTCTAAAAAAAGATCAATCCTTTCCTTACATTTTCCCTTCCAATAACCACCTCCACCTCAACAGCTGTCTCTGTACCTAGAAATTTCTCTTCCTATGGAAGAAGCTGAGCAACTAAGAACGTCATGCTGCTCAGTAGGTGTTCTTGGTGGCGTGTGATGTGCCCCAGCCTGAGAGCCAGGCCACCTGAGTTCTGACCCCAGTTCTGCTGCTGACGGTGAGTAAGCATCCATAAGACATTTTCCTTTCCCTGCTTAAGGTTCCTCATCTGGAAAATGACATCACTCTGGACATTGTCTAAGGTTCCTTCTGGCTTTCACAGTCTCTAACCATTGTTTTGAATCACACATGAATATGTTTTGACTTCTAGTCTCTTCCCTCCCATTTCAGTGGAATAACCTACCAGGTTTGCATGTACCAAGTTCACTAGGTGCTTCTATACATACTTTCTCAGCCAGGAATGAGCCCAGGTATATACATGCACACGTGCTTTTAGTTTTGAGGAGGAACCAACTCCAAAGACCACATATGTTGCCTCACATTAATTTGATATTTTTGGAATGTAAGAGTAGACAGCATAGTTTTCCCCTCACCATTTGGGAAGCTGATTTCTGAAAGCATGCATTGCGCAGAGCCTACAGATTTGAAGGTAGAACTTGTGGTAGTTGACTTGAAGGATGGTGTCAACAATTTGTCTTGGAAGGTTTTCTTCAGTCTCTCTTGTTTATACCCAACTCGTAGCCCGCACCTGCTGTCCTCATCTGAAATGACACCATAAAAGTTAAAACCAGAAAATACATCATATTCTACACTTAACATGGGCAAATTGCATGATGTATGAATTGTACCTCAATCATCCTGTTAAAAATATGAAGCTCAATGCAGAGAGTATCTGTTCTAGGTACCTCAAGGGTCTGCTTCTCTATGAAGTTGTGAGAAGTAAATTTATATTGTAATGTGTGACACAGCCAGAGCTAATTCACTTACCAAGGATGCCTCCTTTCCTTAGAGTTTGGCACAGAGACCTGTGGGTTACTGACATGCCCAGGATAAAGGAGGGAGATCTCTGTGCCATTTATAAAATCTTCAAGTTCAAGCACTTGCCTTCCCTAAAACAGACTGAGCTTTGCATTGAGGCTGAGAGAAGTTGTCTGAATTGGATGGAAGAGACTCTGATACACAGAAAATCAATTTGCCTGTACTGGAGATAATCTCAGAGACAATGTCGGAGTCCACCACGTCTCTCACTGTGTAGGATGGGCCACTGCTCCATCCAGCTAGGATTCTCCCTGCCTCTGCTACCTCTCTTTGTTCCCTCATCCACTCAACCCGCTGTTGGCTACAGGCCAGAAAGCCCCTGTGACCCACGGCCTGAAACACAGTAGGGCACTCAATCAACATTCTTTTTAATTGAGTTGAGATTGAGGTGACAGTGACGACAAGCAATTCAAGAATCTGGGCCAAAAGAGAAGCTTCACTAAGTTAAAATATGGCCGAATCACATTCTTCACTTGACTTCATTCATCTCAGCACAAAAGTACAAATCATGTTCATGACATGGAAACAGCTTCCATGTTGCCAATGCTCTATGAATTCAAGTCAGGAGACAAGTTAATCAGATCAGTTGTGGGAAACCCGTGAAATTCA